AACCAGCTACTAGACGCGTTCGATTTAGTCCCTTTCGCCCCCTAATCAAACCAAGTCAGACGAACGATTTTGGGCAACGTCAGTATCGCTGCGGGCCTCCACCAGAGTTTCTCTGGCTTCGCCCCGCTCAGAGCATAGTTCCCACTTTCGGGTCCCGACAGGTATGCTCTCACTCGAACCCTTCACAGAAGATCAGGGTCGTCGGCGGGCAACCCACAGGGGGATCCCACCATCAGCCTTCTTGTGCCTTACGGGTTTTACTCACCCGTTGACTCGCACACATGTCAGACTCCTTGGTCCCGTGTTTCAAGACGGGCCGAATGGGGACCCACTAGGCCGACACCAGAGCGTGCAGGTTGCGAGACGCCTAGCGGCGGCACGCTGCAAATCCACAATCGCGAATGATGAACGTGTCCACAAGCATTTCAAGCAGCCTGGGCTTTTGGCCACCGACCACAATCCTGTCGGTCTGTGCCCCGAGTCGATTGGCAGACCCGGCTCTCAACCGTTCACATCGACCGAGGCACGTCGCCGGCCCGCCCATCCGCTTCCCTCCCGAACAATTTCAAGCACTCTTTGACTCCTTTTCAAAGTCTTTTCATCTTTCCCCGCGGTACTTGTTCGCTATCGTCTCTTCGCCAATATTAGCCTTGAATCGGAATTTACCGCCCGTTGGGGCTGCCATTCCGCAAAACAACACCGACTCGCTAACAGCGCCTCGAGTGGTGCGACAGGGTCCAGGCACAAAGCGTGGGGGGGCTCTCACCCTCTGGCGCCCCTTCCAGGGGGACCTTGGGGCCCAGGTTCCGCCACTTGAGGACGCTTCTTCCAGACCTAACAATTCAGACGCCGAAAGGCGACCGAATTCTCATGGTGGGTATTCCCGGTTCGCATCGACGTTACTAGGGGAATCCTTGTTAGTTTCTTTTCCTCCGCTTATTGATATGGCCTTAAACTCAGCGGGTGCCCCGCTACCTTGAGGTCTCAGTGAAAGCGTTCGTTTCACAACAACACACAGGGTCAGAGCCTTCTTTTGTCCAGTGGGAGCCAACATGATGGCCTAAGAGCAATCATCAACCACCAATTTGTCAACGGTGTCCTCCAACCCAACAGAACTCACTTTTCAGCCCAAACCACGAGTCGGGGCTTCGGGAGGCCAGCGCTTACTCCATATCAAACCCTGTGAGGCGTTTGGTATGGGGCAACAAATGTGTTGACACCCAGGCAGGCGTGCCCTCACCTAATGGCTTCAAGGAGCAAACTTGCGTTCAAAGACTCGATGGTTCACGGGATTCTGCAATTCCCACACCAAGTATCGCATTTCGCTACGTTCTTCATCGAGCAAGACGCGAGATAATCCGTTGCCAGAGGAGTCATTTTGTATAAGTTTCGTGACAAAACAGCAACCGCGGGAGGACCGTCCCGGTTCCCACGGGCATGCACATATGTTTTCAAATTCGCTTGGCGCACAATGCGCCGGGGTTTGGAGGTTTGCAAGCAGGGATCGCATCAGGGCAACGATCACACCCTCTGACACAAGAGAGGCTGAAGATGACTCGCTGTCACCCCAACCAACCCTCAGGCGGTAAGCACCAATTTCACAGGTTGAACTGGTTGAGGATCGACAATAGATCCTACCCGCAGTTCACCTACGGAAACCTTGTTACGGACTTCTCCTTCCCTCTAAATGATAAGGTTCCAGTGGACCTTCTCACAACGTCGCGAGCGCGAACCGCTCACGTCGCCCGCATATCCCGAAACACTTCACCGGACACATTCAATCGGTAGGAGCGACGGGGTGTTGTACAAAGGGCAGGGACGTAGTCAAACGCCGAGTCATCAGCTGCGCGTTGACCCTACGTCCCTGCCCTTTTGTACACACCGCCCGTCGCTACTAACCGATTGAATGGTCCGCGGTGGAAGTGTTCGGAATTGCGGCGACGTGAAGCGTTCGCTGCTCGCGACGTTGTGAGAAGTCCACTGAACCTTATCATTTAGAGGAAGGAGAAGTCGTAACAAGGTTTCCGTAGGTGAACCTGCGGAAGGATCATTGTCGATGCCTCAACCAGTTCAACCTGTGAAATTGTTTGCTTAGCCTGAGGGTGGTTGGGGTGACAGCGAGTCATCTCAGCCTCTCTTGTGTCAGGAGGTGTGATCGTGCCCTGTGCGATTCCCTGCTGGCAAACCTCAAACCCCGGCGCATTGTGCGCCAAGGAATTTGAAACATATGTGCATGCCCGTGGAACCGGGGGACGGTCCTCCGCGGGTGTTGTCACGAAACTTTATACAAAATGACTCTCGGCAACGGATATCTCGGCTCCTTGCATCGATGAAGAACGTAGCGAAATGCGATACTTGGTGTGAATTGCAGAATCCGTGAACCATCGAGTCTTTGAACGTCAGTTGCGGCCTCGAAGCCATTAGGCTGAAGGGCACGCCTGCCTGGGTGGTCCAACAGCATTTTGTTGCCCGCCATACACGCCTCACAGGGTGTTGAATA